CAGCCGGGATCATCACTGACAGACGTATGGCCAATTTTTTTAATGTTTACATAATGCAAATCCATAACTGCGGCTGAGCGTCTCATCACCGTACTGTGCTTGAAGTCTTCTGTAGATATAGATGGGTTTTACGCCCTTGTTCATAAGACACTTCATCTCCACACGCTGTTCCATGCACTCATTAACACGCACACTGTCTGCCATCTTGATTAACGGTCTTTGCACAGGCCTGCGACATGTGCGCCGCCTATCTGCCACTTACTACTGCATGTAGTACCACCACACTAGCATCCCTTTTTATACCTGTAAAATTAAAAGCCCCGATTTGACTTGAACGACCCTTGTACATATTGATAATATCTCCCCTTAATCTCTTCTCAAGAGAGAATAAATTAATTTCCTCCAATCTTTCCTCATAGCTGGGCTTCTCCATGCCTCTTATCAGTTTGGTTCCCCTTCTCTGTACTTTCTCCAGTTCTCCTATATCCTTTTTGTGAATTGGTGCCCAAAACTGAACTGCATATTCCAGTTTCATATGAGGTCTTACTAATGATTTGTACATAGCTCTCTCTCCCACCCAGATCCTTCTCCACCATCGATTCCCCATCTGTTCTCCTCCTAGCATGTATGTTGCATGTGTGTTTTTAGCCCTCAAGTGCATAACTTTACATGTATCAACATTAAACCTCATCTGCCACATAGTTGCCCAATTAAACAGTGCATTGAGGTCGGCTTGTAAGTTAGAGACATCTTGTAAGGACATTATTCCACTGCACAGCTTGTTGTCATCTGCAAAGACTGTAATGGTACTTTTAATCCTAGACCCTATATCATTTATGAATATGTTAAAAGTAAGGGTCCCAACACTGAACCTTGGGGTACACCACTTATTTTTACACCATTCAGAGTATGAATCAGTAACTACCACTCTCTGAATACAGTACCTTAAGATATTTTCATTATTGAGGTCCATGATACATAGTTGTGCATAGATTCATTTATCCTGCACCATTATAACTAGGATGTCTTTATTTGGTTTCCTGAACTTTCATGACAAAATAAAAGAAAGTTTAGCAAAGTTTACCGTGATGTTCCAGTGATGCTGATTTCACGCTTGCCTGTAGGCACATTTTTATGAGATGCAGTATCTTCGCCTTAATGTGATTAACACAAAGGGATCTGAAGCTCATCCAAATTCTGTACAATTTATAACCCTTGTTAAAGCCTTGGATTTCTACAGCAGTTCAAGCTGCATTTCAATGCATTTTGAATCAGAAAGGATGTATAAATTGAAAATTGAAGATTTTATTGAGAATGCAAGAGCTTGGTTGTAAATTTTTTGTTCCACACCTCTCTTGGGTCATATATTTTCCTTTTACTATGCAAATTAGAGAATCTCTGTCAATCAGTCATCAACCAGCTAATTTGCCAATAATCTACAGCAAAATTACTTCCAAGTTTAGCTAAATGAGTAAACATTAGCTCCTGCAGGGTTAAAGAGAACCATAACTCAGTTAGATAGGAATTTATCATAGCACAGTGTATGCTGAATAGGAGTTATGCCTTGTTACTATTTTTTATCAGTTTTATAGAGAATTTGTCACAGAGAAAAATACCTCTCTCTCACTGATGGAAGAACCTATTCTCTGACTAGCATATTGCTTGCTTGTTCTGGTCAATGAAGTTAGGTAAGGAAAAGTGAGCAGATCCAGTGATCACACTAGTTATTGTGGAACTTCACTTTCTCCATCAGCATTGACTATTTTTAATCCTTATGTTGCTAGCATTAGTAAATTGATAGGAATGTGTATCATATTTACTTGTTTGAAACTTTTTTAGGTTTCTTCGGTTACTTCTTCATTTCCAGGCCTAAGCAAATGATGTCATACATCCCAGGAGTCTTCAGGATGAGAAGAGGGGCTTTATTAGCTAAGCACGCCCTCCTGCCTGCGTGCATGAGCTAAAGACCGAGGGAATCATGGAATTAAATGCTACATGAGTCATATACCAATGACATCTACAAGATGGCCATGGCCAGAAGTTCTAGGAGATATTTTTCAAAGTGATTACTCAGCAAAATAAAATATGGAGACATGGATGGGTGCAATTGCTTTGAATATTAAAAATGAATTAAGCAGTGTTTTTGCTTTGTGGTGCTCAGATATAACATAGCTCTGCTTTAACGTTTGTTACTTATTTGGCTACATCGCTCACTATTTTGCTGCCATATGTACAGTACTGTTTTGACAATGGGGGGTTTCCCCATCATGGGTACCATTTAACATAGAAAAGGCTTTCCCATGTAATAATAAAATAACTTGTTAGTGTCTCTGGGAACCAGAATGAGGGGGAAATGGTTCTAAAGTCCATAATGACACACCAATTAAAACAAGCAGACATCTTCAGATAAGAGCATACTTATAAAGCATACCTTGTTATCTTATAATGCAGTGATTATGCAATAGACATCATACAACCGTGTTTCTTTATTAATTGTGTTAAGAACTTTGTTTTTTGCCTAAAGGGGCTGATTTACTAAAACTGGAGAGTACAAAATCTGGTGCAGCTGTACATGCTAGGCAATCAGCTTCTAACTTCAGCTTATTGGGGTGGTGTAGAAAGACCCCCTAAGCAGTGTGGCAGGCTAAGATTTCCATCTCAGGGTTGGGATCTTGGCACATTATGGGAAGAAAAAAGAGGTATTCTTTGTACATTTTATTGTTGAACTTATAGGAGAGAGAGTTAGGGGTACATGATACCCCAAAAAATTATAAAATTGCCAAATTTATAAAGCTGTAGAACCAATTGCAGTCTTCCTTAAGCTGTAATAGCGCTTTTATAATGTATAGCTATTGAGCCTTTTATAAAGGCCACAAATACCTTTGATTTTTGAGCAGTGAATTCATCTTGCAATGTGCAACAGTAGCTTCTACCCAGCTACTCTTAGACACTCTTCAGCACATAAAATTCCCTAAGGCCTCATTCACACCATACTTGCAGAAAAACTGATGGCAACTAATGTGCAGATTTCACTTGCAGAGGCATCAGTTTACATCAGTTTTCATACAGATTGTAGATTTCCTGAAGAAATCATGCATGTGATACTAGTGTTGTGGTGTGAACATGGCACATAGAGTACAACTGATTTCATGGTGCCCTTGCAGAACATGTGTAGAAAAACTGACTTCTCTGCACCATGGTGTGAATGAGCCCTTACAGTTGCTCCATCCAGGTAGCCATGCTTTTTCCCAGCTCCCTCTGGCTAGACCCTACAGCAGGTCAGCTAAATTCCTGGACCTCCAGCACAAGCCCTAGAAAGCTGTTTAAAACATTTAGAATTTTCTGTTAACCTACAGCACTGAACACAAACCTCAGTGATTGGCTGGGACAGACAAATATCTATAACGCAGTGATTGCTCTTCCCACTAGCAGCAAGCAGAAACAGTCATTATGGGGAGCTTAGGAGGAACCTGCAGAGCACAGAATTTGGAAACAACGCTCAGGCCTTGTCAAATACCTGGTTGGGGAGGCTGATGTGGAGAAGGCATCCTCTTTCGGTTCCTGCTCAGTGGACCTGATAGAGTAGACAGGGAACACGAAAGCCTGGAGCAGCACGAGTGCCGGGTAAGTCTGCACTGTCAGCTGACAGGTGGGTAGTTGCAGCGACCAGGATGCAGGTGGGCTGCGGCTGCAGGTCAGTGGAAGATGCAGGTTTAGCTGGAGCAGTGGCTGTAGGGTTTGGCGGTACTGCAGATAACAAGGCACAGGCTGAGGAAGAAGCAGAGTCAGACAAGCCGGGTCGACAACTACCAGGCGGATCAGGTACAAGGGGCAGGCAGAGTGTAGTCAGAGTCAAGCTGGGTCGGTGCAGGCGGAGTTCAAACGAGGCCAGGGCAGGTCAGGTCGGCAACAGAATCAGGATACACAAATAGCAGATGAGGGAATGGGAAAGACCAGAAGGCAGTGTCTCCTAGTGCAGCATCAGTTTAAATAGCCCACTTGGTGCCAGTCCGGTAGCTTGCGCGCACATTTGCATGCATGCGCAGATATCAGAATATCGGGAACCTACACTGGCGCATAACTGTGCACCTACATGTACTTTGCCTTCCCTGACAGGCCTAATAAAGGCTAGCTGTAAAACATACTGAATTTAATTAGGAAACCCCAGCTTAGGACAGGGTCCCTACTGTCAAACATTTGAACAATTGATTAAGTCAGCAATATCAATTATTGCTGAATTTTTCTGCTCTATGCAGATATTCCTTTAAGCACAATAAAATTTGTGTGAAAGTATGGACTATGAAACTAGAAAATAAATTAAGATTTATTTTACAAGTAAGTCAGTAACAACAAACCACATAACAGTAAGATTGGCAGTGGCTGTAGCATAGTGGTTAAGGTGCCCATTCAGTAAGATTGATAGTAATAACACAGACACCAAACTTTATATTCAACAAAAAATAATCACTCAATTTATACGGCTAAAACATATATATCCTGGGAAACTAGATGGAATTATTAACTTAATTAGGAATAATTAATTTCCTCTCATAGATATCATAACCTATATTACTAAACCTAGAAGACCAATATATATCTGCATTTTTTGCAGCAGGTTTAAAGAAAATAAATTGTACCAATATAGTAGAAATGTACTTATCTAATTAGGATGATATCATGAGAGGAATACCAAATTTAACCCCTTGTCTACAGGGCACTTATACACCCTTCCTGCCCAGGCCAATTTCCAGCTTTCCAGCACGCCGCACTTTGAGTGACAATTGCGCGGTCATGCAGTACTGTACCCATATGAAATTTTTATCATTTTTTTGTGACAGATAGAGATTTTTTTTGTTGGTATTTAATCACCTCTAGGTTTTTTATTTTTTCTTAAACAAACCAAAAACCACTGAAAATTTTGTAAAAAAAAAAACGTTTGTTCTTAGTTTTTGTTATAAAATTTTGTAAATAAGTGATTTTTCTCCTTCACTGATGTGCGCTAATGAGGCTGCAGTGATGGGCACTGATAGGCTGCACTGATGGACACTGCTAAGTGGCACTGATGGGCACTGATGAGGAGGCACTGGTAGGTGGCACTGATGGGCATTGACAGGCATCACTGATGGGCACTGAAAGGCAGCACTGATACATGTCACTGATAGGCAGCAATGATAGGCGGCACTGACTGGCACTGTTAGGCAGAACTGACTGGCACTGTTAAGCAGCACTGACTGGCACTGATAGGCGGCACTGACTGACACTGATAGGCGGCACTGACTGGCACTGATAGGTGGCACTGACTGGCACTGATTGGTGACACTGAAAGGCAGCTCAGATGGGCACTAATATGTGGCATTGATGTGCACTGGTAGGCACTGATATTTGGCATTGATGTGGCACTGATGGGCACTGGAACGAGGCACTGATGAGCACTGACACAAGGCACTGATGGACACTGCCAGGTGGCACTGCTGGGGCTACACTGATTATCAGGGCACACTGATCATCAGTGTACATATCCCCTCCGCAGAAAGCCGATTACCGGCTCTTCTCTCCTCACGAGCTGTCAGCGTGACAGCTCGTGAGGAGAGAAATGCCGATAACCAGCATTTCCCTGTTTACATGTGATCAGCTGTGATTGGACACAGCTGATCACATGACCAAGCCGATATCTTCGGCTCTTTCCATGATCGGTGATCCGCTGTGTCCGAGGGACACAGTGCACCGTCGATCAACGCGCTCTCTGAGCCGTGCATGCGCAGTGAGAATGGGAGGACATCATATGACGTCCTCCCAGAATGAGAGAACCACGTTGCGTCTGTCATATTACTATATGGGGGACGGGAGGTGGTTAACCAGCAAAATATATAGTAAGCAGAAGTTTAAAATAAACAAGCAAAAATCATTTAGATAATAACACCATTAGTGACCTCAGAAGCAAAATGGTGATGGATCGCATTGTCACAAGTTAGTTTGCAACCTTTTTTTATTATTCTTACCTCCTTGGTGCAGTGCCTGTTCCTGATCCCTTCCACATGTGTGGTTTGTCTGTGCTAACCTGTGGGGGTTGTCTACTATTCTCTGGGTTTATTTCCTTCGCTTCCATCACTTCCTGGCCCGCCTCCTAGTTTGCTTGTATATACAAGACATGCTCAGTCTAGCCCACTTTGCCTGAGCAACTTCCTAGTTGTCGGAGCTCCCGTGTGTTACTACTGTCTGAATCCTACATTGACTCCTCGTGTACTGACCTCGGCGTCGTTCTCTGACCTTGCTTGTTTTCCGCCTGCCCTGACCTCGGCTTGCCTATCGGATTCCATTTGTCTCCTCCCTTTATACTCTGCTCTCGCAAGCTGTCTCCTCAAACTCAGCTGGGCGTACCTGGTCCCAGCTTGCTGCAAGTCCATCCCCACCATCAGGGGCTCTGGTGAAGAAGCAGGCTGGGGCTTAGACTCCGTGCCCTCGGGAACCCCAATTTGAGGATCAATAAGAGCTCACTACCACAGGTGCTGACACGCATTGGATGGATAGATATGACTAAAGATAGAAGGAGCTTTAGATGCTGATGATTCAATATGGAGCTGATCTCAGAGGAAGTCCCTCTTTGAAGATGGAGTCAATGCAGTCTCTCTCTCTGAGCCTCCCTTTTTATCCTCCCAGAATTTACCTTAATTAGGGATCATTCCTGAGGGCATAGTTTGTAATATTTGTGATACAATGCATAAAGTGTAAATTATTTTGTTCTAATAATTGTGAAATATAGACAGTTCCAATCGCTGGTTATCGGCAGTACTTTCCGCACGCTGTCACAGCATGAGAAACATACTGTCAATAATCGGCAAATGTAAAAGGTGACATCTAAACTGATAATCAGGGCACTGATTATCAGGGGCTTGGTTATAAATGTAGCCCCAAAAGTTCCCATAAGTGCCCAACATTGCTGCACATCAGTGCCCAACAATGCTGCCCAGCAGTGCTGCTAATCTGTGCCAGTCAGTGCTGCACATCAGTGCTGCCAGTCAGTACCCCAGTCAGTGCCCTTCAGTGCTGCCTATTAGTGCCCATCAGTGCCATCTATCAGTGTTCATCATTGTCCCCTATCAGTGTCGCATATCAGTGCCTCCTCATCAATGCTCACCAATGCTGCCTCATCAGTGCAGGCTACCAGTGTCCATCAGTGCAGCCTCATCAGTGCACTGACCAGTGCAGCCTATCAGTCCAATAATTGTGAAATATAGACAGTTCCAATCGCTGGTTATTGGCAGTACTTTCCTCACGCTGTCACTGCCTGAGAAAAGTAATGTCAATAATCGGCAACTGTAAAAGGTGACATCTAAACTGACAACCAGTGCACTTATTATCAGTGGCCAGGTTATAAATGCAGCCCCAAAAGTGCCCATAAGTGCCCAACAGTGCTGCCCATCAGTGCCCAATAATGCTGCCCATTAGTGCCCAGCAGTGCTGCTAATCTGTGCCAGTCAGTGCTGCCCATCATTGCCGTCAGTACCACCAGTCAGTGCCCTCAAGTGCTGCCTATTAGTGCTCATCAGTGCCACCTATCAGTGCTCATCATTGCCCCCTATCAGTGCCGCATATCAGTGCCTCCTCATCAATGCCCACCACTGCTGCTACATCAGAGCAGCTTCATCAGTGCCCATCAGTGCTGCCTGGTTATCAATGCAGCCCCAAAAGCATCCATAAGTGCCCAACAGTGCTGCCCATCAGTGACCAACAATGCTGCCCATCAGTGTCCAGCAGTGCTGCCAATCTGTGCCTGTCAGTGCTGCCAATCTGTGCCCATTAGTGTCACCAGTCAGTAGCACCAGTCAGTGCCACCTATCAGTGTCCATCAGTGCTGCATATCAGTGCAGCCTCATCAGTGCCTCCTCATCAATGCCGCCTTATCAGTGCAGCCTATCAGCATCCATCAGTGCTGCCCCAGTCAGTGCCTATCAGTGCAGCCTCATAAATGCACATCAGTAAAGGAGAAAAATTACCTGTCTGCAAAATTTTATAATAGAAAGAAACACTTTTTTTTACAAAATTGTTGGTCTTTTTTCATATGTTTAGCAAAAAATATAAAAACCCAGTGGTGATTAAATACCACAGAAAGAAACTCTATTTGTGTGAAAAAAATTGTAAACATTTCATATGGGTACAGTGTTGCATGACCGTGCAATTGTCATTCAAAATGTGGCAGCGCTGAAAGCTGAAAATTGGCCTGGGCAGCAAGGGGGTAAGAGTGCCCGGTAGGCAAGTGGTTAAAGTATGATATCCTGTGATCTATCCCAGAATAAACTGCCCTTTTATTATATTTGTACTTTGTATTTTGTCTTTTTAGGACATGGTTAAACAAACACTATGCAGTGCTGAGGACAGTTGGAGAAGGACTTTTTACCAACAGATATACAAACATCAGACAAAACAGCCCTAACCGATCATGGATACATGGATTCCACTGGTGCTGTGGTATCTGACACCAAGACGTCAGTAGCAGATCCTTAAAGTGCTGTAAGTTGTGAGGTGGGGCCTCTATGGATCAGAATTGTTTTTCCAGCACACCCAAACAGATGCTTCACTGGATTGAGATCTGGAGAATTTTACGCCAAGTCAACACCTTGAACTCATTGTTGAGTTACTTAAAACAGTCTTGAACTATTTTTGCAGTGCGGCAGGGCACATTATCCTGCTGAAAGAGGCATCAGGGAATACCGCTTCCATGAAGGGATGCACTTTGTCAGCTGTAATGTTCAGGTAGGTGGCACATGTCAAGTAACATCCACATATTTGGCTGGACCCAAGTTTTTCCATCAGAACATTTTCCAAAGCATCACAATGGCTCAGGTGGTTTGCTTTCTTCTCAAACTGCATCATAGTGGCATATCATCTCCAGATAAAGAACACACATGCACCAGTCATCCACATGATGTAAACATGACATATGATTCATCAGACTGGGCCACCTTATTCCATTGCTCTATGGTCCAGTTCTGATGCTCACATGCCCATTGTAGGCGCTTTTGGCTATGGACATGGGTCAGCATGGGCACCCTGACTAGGTGACTACACAGACCCATACACAACAAACTACAATGCCTACTTTCAACACATCAACGTCAAGAACATCATGTTTACTTGCTGTTTAATATATCCCACTGATTTTCAGATACCATGGTAAAGAGATAACACTGTTCAACAGGTAAAAAGTTTTGGGCATAAAATTAGCTAATCTTACATAATTTTGGGGTGCTGAAAACGAAAATGACCCTAAAAAATGTTGATTGGCTCTAGTTTCCATGATATATTCACCCATCTAATGACGTAAGCCATTCAAAATTATGATGCAACTTCAGCTGCATATTGCGCAATTGATACTGGTGACCAATAGAAAATTGCATGTATACTGAGATGATGCAATATTAGCCTTTAATTGCATCACTTCACTGCATAAAAGCTGCAGTATCTGTAGCTGATTGTAGTTCGACAGCGTCTTTACATTTCGTTTTATGCTTATATAGGCTACTCAGTAATGCCTCGAACTTGTGTGAATAAAGCAGATAATTTCTGCTATATCTGCGGTAAAATAACTTTTATCTCACAAAAAAGGAGGATAACAGGAATGATTAAGAAAGCCTACAACTTGTATTTTGGCTGCAAGATAGGAGACCAGGACAAGAGCTGGGCACCACATATATGCTGCAATTCTTGTGGGACGGCACTGGAGCAAATGGTTGAATGGAAAAAAGGCATCTATGCCTTTCGCTGTGCCAATGATTTGGAGAGAGCCAACAGATCATGTTAGTAATTGTTACTTTTGTATGGGGCCTCCGATTGTAAAAGGGCTAAATTAGAAGAAAAAGTTATCTGTGCACTATCCAAATATTCCATCGGCAATACGTCCAGTTCCTCATGGAGAGGGGCTACCAATTCCTAAAGCACCAGAATCCTTTGTGGTTGAGTCAAGTGAGGAAGAACCTGAAGCGTGTAGTCACGTGCAGTTGTAAGAGATAGCCCTTTCCTCGAATACAAGAGAAAAGCCAAGAGAAGGAAAACCGACACAAACTGAAGACAAAACTAGTGAGAATCCTAAGTATTAAAATGATTCAACTTAGCTCATGGCTATAATTTTTCTTGGTAATCCTATGCAATATATTATGCCATTTAGGCTTTGTTATGTAGTCAATATCACTTGCTTTATATTTGTGGAAAGACATCTATCTATATAAATTATTGTGCATTATGTAGTCATTACGCCTATAGTAGAAAACTTTCCGTTTACAGAAAAACTAGAGCCAATTGACAAATTTCATTGTTATATTTGAACTCAGAATGTGAAATTCATTAAGAAATGGATCTTTTTGTTTCCAAAACTGGCAAAAAATAAAAATTTGTTGAACAGTGTAATCAATGCTATTCACTTAAATAATATGTAAACCCAACATTTGGTATTCCTGATATGTGCCTCCTGTACCATGTACTTGTACGGAAAAGTATCTTTTTGTGTGGCTTCCTTTGTATGAAATCCCTGGTGTTCCTGCCAGTCCATCTGCTTTCGTATTAAAACTGAGCACACTAGGCATGAGAGCACAGCATGGTCAGTTCTCTAACTGTTCTGGAACTCAGCCTCCTCCAATGATCAGGCTTGTGCTGACACACCTCCCCTGCACAACCATTCACTGGGAAGATCAGTGTCCTGCTCTTTCTTATCCCTGAGCAATGTGTGCAGCTGAGAACAGAGATTATATGATTACTTATAAAAAAGGGGAAAAAGGTATTTATAATTTTTTATTTCGTATACACACAAATGTTTTGCCTTTCATTTCTATTTTAAACTTAATGGGATGTTTTGCAAAGTGAGGGTTTACATATACTTTAACTTGTCAGTGGTCATAAAATTATGTCTGATTGGTGTATGTTGAAATGCTTTTGACCTGTATTCCTGACAAAAAGTCTGTTTTATCAGTCCAAATAGTTGATGCCTCTGTATTTGCAATAAATGAGAACAAGCCCTAAACAGTTCTAGGTTAGATGGTCGTTTTGATAAAGGCAGGGGTTCTATAAATATTGAAAAATGCTGTGAAATAAAGAAGAAGAATATTACCAAAAGCTGCTTTCCCAGTTTGGCTGATTTCAGGCAGGGCTCTGAACATGATGGGGTTCTACAACACCTGATTGAGCTATGGTAGTTATCTGGAGGGTCACGTGGTTCTCTCTTCTCAAAACATTCATCAATGAGAAAGGTTATTATTTCTAACAAAGGTATGTCAAGTTTATTTTCTTTGAGCTTACCATCACTTTATTACATCATACATATGACAGAATGTAACTAAAGGGAATTTGGTTTGCAGTGTCATACACATTCATATAGACATGGGTCTGGGGTGCCATACATTTTGGACAATATGAGCGCGATCTTCTATAAATTATTACATTTGTATTTATAATAAAACTACATTCCATAGTTACACAATCTTCACATTTAACACCCAGTGCTTTACTCTGCTTCATTTAACAGCAACTTTATTTTTTTCTGGTAACAGCCCAGAGTGAGGTCTAGCTATGGAATATAGAATAGGAAATATTAGGTTATATCAGCATTGTTTCATCACTTGGAATTGAATAACCGCATTCAGCAAGTCATTACTGTGCTACCATAGTAGTCCTATTAAATTTTAACAGGACTTTATATACTGTTAAATTAAACTCATGAAACCTGCAGGGACCAAACCTGAGGAACTCAGGCCAGTTGACAAGTATAACCGGTCTTGGAGAGTGGAAAATAAATGAACATAATCACTTCAAAGTCCAACACTCTAGGAAATAAATGTATTTTCAATTTGCTTAGATTGTAAAATCAAGTATAATTGTGTACAGCATACCTCCTGATGCCTACCAATTAAACTCTTGCCGATACATAATATGTAGATTTCAAAACAAATATAATTTACTGCATATACACTTTTTTCCTGTTACTGAGCAATATGCCACACAGAAGGAGTTACTGTTCTGAATTGCTTTTCATTTTTAAATTTGTTACTTTGCAGGGCTGGAGTAAGATCAATAAATGTGATTATTTCATATCTTTCATCAAGTACTGAAAATTGTCAAAAGAACATTACATATTTGTAAAGAATGAACATCATACTGTTTTCATTGACAGTCTACATTAATGAATTGAATACTGCTCTGTGTGACAGTGCTGTGCCATGCCACTGTGTTAGAAAGATTAAATGTCACACAGGGCCCTCACAGATGCAGGATAAGGGGCTTCAGAATAGCTACCGTATTTTCGGCGTATAAGGCAACTAGGTGTATAAGACAACCCCCTAATTTTCCAGTTAAAACATAGGTTTTGGGCTATACTCGTCGTATAAGACTACCCCCCTTCTGAGGCAACACCATTTAACCCCAAGCCTACAGGACACCTATACCCACTCCCCCCCCCCCCCCCCCCAGGCCAATTTTCAGCTTTCAGTGCTTTCACACTTTGAATGACAATTGCGCGGTCATGCAACACTGTACCCATATGAAATAGGTGGCACTGATGGGCACTGATGAGGAGGCACTGGTAGGTGGCACTGATGGGCATTGACAGGCATCACTGATGGGCACTGAAAGGCAGCACTGATACATGGCACTGATACATGGCACTGATAGGCGGCAATGATAGGCGGCACTGACTGGCACTGTTAGGTGGCACTGACTGGCACTGATGGGTGGCACTGATGCGCACTGATAGGTGGCACTGACTGGCACTGATAGGTGGCACACTGACTGGCACTGATAGGTGGCACTGATTGGCAGCACTGATGGGCATTGACAGGCATCACTGATGGGCACTGAAAGGCAGCACTGATATGCAGCACTGACTGGCACTAATAGGTGGCACTGATTGACAGCACTGATAGGTGGCACTGACTGGCACTGATGGGTGACACTGAAAGGCAGTTTAGATGGGCACTGATATGTGTGCATTGATGTGGCACTGATGGACACTGACAGCTGGCACTGCTGGGGCTACACTGATCATCAGGGCACACTGATCATCAGTACCCTGATCATCAGTGTACATGTCCCCTCCGCGGAAAGCCGATTACCTGCTCTCCTCTCCTCTCGAGCTGTCAGCGTGACAGCTCGAGAGGAGAGAAATGCCGATAACCGGCATTTCCCTGTTTACATGTGATCAGCTGTGATTGGACACAGCTGATCACATGACCGAGCCGACATCTTTGGCTCTTTCCGTGATCGGTGATAGCTGTGTCCGAGGGACACAGCGCATCACCGCGCCGCGCATGGGAGGACGTCATATGAGCCAATCACGGCAAGTGATGTATTCTATTAATGAATACAGAACCTGCTCGGATTGGCTGTGTCAGAGAGGCGGGCTGATGATGTCACAACTTCAGCCAATCCGAGCAGGCTCTGTATTCATTAATAGAATACATCGCTCGCCGTGATTGGCTCAGCGCGGTACACTGTATGTAGCTAAAGCTACCATACAGTATTTACCGCACATCCAGCATTCTATACCCGGCGTATAAGATGACCCCCAATTGTTAGGGTATGTTTTTAAGTAAAAAAAAGTCGTCTTATATGCTGGAAAATATGGTACTCTGAGTGGACTAAATTGGTTTTATTGCTTTCTCCAGAATTGGTAACTCCTGGACTGGGTCCTGGAGTACAGATGTTTTGAAGAGTCTTAGGAGAAATGAAAACTCTACCTACAGTATGTCCATGTCCTACCAGAGACCAGCAGCTGGACTATGCATGGTGTACAGCCTTTATAATCAAGATTCTGGCAGTGATTCAGGGCTTCACCCAGGAGACATGAGGTCCCCTGCCCAGAGGTCAGGGCATTGGCCAGGAGCTGCAAGAGAGAGGTACAGTATTTGTGGTGGTGTAAGGTGGTCTGAAGGAAAAGAAAAAGACCTATGCCTAAGGCCATAGCAGTGACACTGCAAGAAGTAGCGAGGAAGCTTAATGTCATTTTGCTTTTGTGTTTTGAAGTGATGGTGAAAATCCCTGCGAGGGTAATGCTCTAAGTAACACTTGAACTTTTCCTCTAAATAAAAGTGGACCAGAAGCCCTGAAACAGTATTTTCTGAGCAAAATTCCCAAAATATCAACCTAATAAAGTTATTAAATGTTGTATTGAGAGTGATACAGTATTTTTATTTGTTATGTGCCCATTCACACAGCACACCTAAAAAAAAATTTTTTTAAATATTTATTTTAGATGTTTCTGAGGAGAAAGTGCCATGCCTGATTGTTAGCACTTTTTGAGGGTCTCATGGTATCTCAATTTGGATCCAAGGATCATCCATGGTCTCCATGGATCAACTTCAGTACAACCAGCCTGTCATATTTTTTCATGCTAATACTGCCAGCAGCTATAGCCACCAGAAGTGATCATTGTGTTCTGCCGCAAGGAAGGCTCCTCACTGGCAGAACACAATAGTGCTGCGGGAGGGATTCCCCATCAACACTAACAGTGTTGATAGAGGAATTAAGCAATTTTCTTTCTTTCCTCCGGGGATGGAAGGAAAGAAAATTGCATAATCTATGGGCTGCTTAAAGCCTGGTACACACAATCAGAAAATCGGACAAATGATCGCTCGGAATGTTTTGGATGTTGGTCTCATATCAAAAATGAATAGGTTACTAAAGTTACAAAAATTCTTGTAGGACAGAATACAACTTCAAAAGTGGCGTAATGTACTGTATTGTATTGTAATGTTTTCTTTTGTTTCTGAGCATGGGCAGTCTTGGTCACTCGATTTTTTTGCACAGATATTATACTAACTACACGAAAATCATTAGTTTTATTTTCTTGTGAGAAAAAAATGTTGTGCTTGTACCTTTGGATATTTTTGCATAAATTGTTGTGTTCATACTAACGAATAGATTATTGCACAATCACTCCAAACGTGTTTTTTTTTCATCCTATTTTCTCATCATTTGTACCAGGCTTAAGTCTTTAACCCTCTTTTAGGACAGACAGCGTTCAAATCTAGTTTACAACTCATAATGAAGAGCTGCAAGAACAGCACAGACAGAATTATTTATGTTAAACATTATTCCACAGCACCCTACTAAATATTACAAAGTAGGGAGAACTTGTTAGGATTTTTAAGCAAGTAAAAAGCATTAAAAAGATAACCAGCTATGATTGTTTAAACATTACGAAGAATATAACAGAATATGCAAAAAGTGAAAAGGAACGACAGATTGCAAAAGATAGCAGGACAAACCCCCAAAATTTCTTCAAATATATTAATAGTAAAAAGGTCCAGTCCGAGCGTGTAGGCCCTTTACAAATAATCTAGAGTGGGTGACTGGAACAAAGAGAAGGAAAATGTATGAAATACTTTCTTCAGCTCTGTAAATACAAAGGAGCATGGGGGAGCTCCTGTCCATAATTGGCATGGCATTGACACAGATCCAGATGATCCACATAGGCTCACAATTGATATGATCCAGAAATATTTAGACAGAATAAAGGTGAATAAAGCACCTGGACTGGATGGCATACACCCACGGGTTCTTAAAGAATTGAGCTCTGTCATTTTAAAGCCATTGTTTCTAATTTTTAGGGACTCTTTAATGACTGACATAGTACCACTGGATTGGCGTAAGGCCAATGTGGTGCCAATATTTAAAAAGGGATCAAAATCTTTACCATGTAATTATAGACCTGTTAGTTTAACTTCTATAGTTGAGAAGATAGTGGACAGTTTAATAAAAGACCACATAGATGAGTTCTTGCTGGTGAGGAAAACCTTGGACAGAGGGGTGGCGTTGGACTTGGTATACATGGATTTTGCAAAAGCGTTCAACACAATTCCCCACACATGGCTAATGTGTAAGGTAAAGTCTACAGGCTTGGAAATATCCGTATGTAAACGGATAGAAAACTGGCTAAAAGATCGTATTCAGAGAGTAGTGGTTAATGATTCATACTCTGAATGGTCTAGGGTTGTAAGTGGTGTACCCCAAGGTTCAGTGTTGGGACCCTTACATTTTAATATATTTATAAACGATATAGGGTCTAGGATTATAAATCCCATTTCAGTGTTTGCAGATGACACCAAGCTGTGCAGTGGAATAACGTCCTTACAGATGTCTCCAACTTAGAAGTTGACCTCAATGCACTGTGTAATTGGGCAACTATGTGGCAAATGAGGTTCAATGTTGATAAATGTAAGGTTATGCACTTGGGGGCTAAGAATATGCATGCATCATACATACTAGGGGGGGGGGGGTACAACTGGGGGAATCAATGGTGGAGAAGGATCTGGGAGTTCTGGTAGATCACAAGCTTAATAATGGCATGCAATGCCAAGCTGCGGTTTCTAAAGCGAGCAAAATCCTCTCTTGTATTAAAAGAGGTATAGACTCCAGAGAGAGATATATCATATCACCCCTGTACAAATCATTAGTAAGACCTCATCTGGAATATGCAGCTCAGTTTTGGGCACCAATTCACAAAAAGAACATTGGGGAACTGGAGAAAGTACAGAGAAGGACAACAAAACTGATACGAGGCATGGAGGAGCTCAGCTATGAGGAAAGATTAGAGGAACTGAATTTATTCTCTCTTGAGAAGAAGAGATTAAAGGGGGGATATGATCAACATGTATAAATACATCAGTGGTTCATATAGTGAACTCGGTGTAGAGTTATTCACCCTGAGGTCATCACAGAGGACAAGGGGGCACTCTTACGTTTGGAGGAAAAGAAATGTAATCTCCAAACACGGAAATGTTTTGTCACAGTAAGAGCTGTGAAAATGTGGAATAGACTCCCTCAAGAGTTGGTTCTGGCCAGCTCAGTGGATTGTTTTAAAAAAGGCCTCGATTCTTTCCTGGATACACAGAATATAACTGGATACTAACATTTATAGCTAAAGTTCATACAGGGAATATCCGATTGCCTCTCAGGGGTTCAGGAAGGAATTTTTTCCCCTACAGGAGCAAATTTGCTCTGCTGGGGTTTTTTTTTGCCTTCCTCTGGATCAACTGTGGGTGTAGGATTTTAACTTTTTTTTTGATGTTGAACTGGATGGACTTTTGTCTTTTTTCAGCCAGACTAACTATGTAACTATGTAATATAGCAAGGAACCTGCAAACTTGCTGTCTTTTATAGCCATGAATGCACAAACATGTATGTCTGATTAGCAAATCACTTGGAACACATTTCTTAGTGTATAGAATCAGGCCAAGAACTCTATAGTCAGAGCTGGGCCTGTGGCTATTGGCTCATCAGTGGAAATGACTTCTATTCCATGATTATTGTTATACCTCTGTTTGCTGTGAGATATACACTGTGGGATTATGTTTCTATTTTCTATTTCAATGATTTTTATTAAGTTTAGGAAAGAGAATGTAAAAATAGTTAGATGTCAGTCTATCATTCATAACATTTCAGTAATGTAACAAGGGAATTATGTAAGGAGATAGCAAATTATCATCAGGTTAATTCAAGCTTCAGCGGATGATATTATATTTTAATATTATGGAATATGCATAGCATACATTTTTTAAAAAGTGTACCTTAACTTTCTACAGTTTTATTATTTGCATTAAATTAAAAAAGAGAGATTCTGTCTATAAAATCAGAAATAGTGTTGCGCTCTGCTACCATTTGCAAAATTTTGTGAATAGATAAATATTACATAAATATTAGTCCAGCATCGAAAGAATACATATCAATATCACTGCAATTATATTACTGCTGCAAACATGTCCTTATTAAGTCCGTGACCTTGACACTTCTTCTAGTGCTGTGTTACAAAATAATAGCTGTGCAGTCCACCAATTATAAAAAATATATTGTGCACCTTCATCGGTTATGCTCTCACCTGGTGTGTATGACCAAACTGTTAAGTGAGGTCATAAAAGGTTTGTGTCCCTTTAATTGGACTTAGTGGTAAATGGATGGGATTATCCTTTGTTCCCTGGGATGGATGGATGAATGGAGTGTTCGTTCTTTCCAACAGGGGGTCTTCTCACTTCCTTATAGCTGGATGGATGGACAGGAATATCCCTCTTCCCACTAGGGGGTCTCATAGCTTCCTTAGGGATTTCGCTCCATAAGTGTAACGGCCATTGAATGTAATAAAAGAATACAGTGCCTTATCCTTTTTAAAACCTAGGGGCTCTGATGTCACGACGCTTAAAGCAACATACAGCAAGTATTCAGCAATATTGGAAAACTTTACTGTGGATTCAAATTTCAACATTTTAATGCGGTTTTAACTTGTAATACATGTGAGTGC